TTTAGATATTCTAGAATTGTTAGTGTTTAGATATTCTAGAACTGTTAGTGTTTAGATATTCTAGAATTGTTAGTTTTTAGATATTCTAGAATTGTTAGTGTTTAGATATTCTAGAATTGTTATTGTTTAGATATTCTAGAATTGTTAGTTTGTAGGATGCTTCACAAACATCTATCGAAGTTTAACATATTTTAAAAGTATATTTTCTAAAAGTTTTCTGTTAAGAAATTATGAAATTATGACAGAAGGTATAATTCTAAACAAAGCAAAATCAATCGATCATTAACGAACGACTTAAAAATTCGTTCAGGCTTATATCGGGTATGTGGAGTACGATTTATATCTAAATTTCTCTTTACAGAAATATCAGATGGAAACAAAAATTCATTCAATAACTATTTTTTATTTTTTCGCGAACACTTCCTTTAAGATGCCTACTTTTAACATGAAATATACAATTCTCCAAACATAGAATTCCTAACATCAAATATACAATTTTCTAAACATAGAATTCCTAACATCAAATATACAATTTTCTAAACATAGAATTCCTAACATCAAATATACAATTTTCTTAACATTGAATTCCTCGAATTGTTGTTTAACTTACAAGTTACATTCCCATAAACAATGGTACCATTTAAGCCCTGAAAGTCTAAGCAAACATTCAGGAAACATTCTTGTTTTTCTAGCTGATAATTTATAATTTTTAATTTCGGTTATCTATAAAATTAGGCTTTTAGGGCGCTTCATGCCCATCCTCTATTTTAATTGTGGCTCTATCTGTGAGCATCTCCTCTTTATACATGTATAAAACAATAACAAAAAAGTGCGCGGATTTTTTGAATTTCACAAGAATCAAAGGCTTTTGAAAACATCTGAGCATGCATAAACCTTCCCTGGGGTCATGCAAGGTCCCATACACAATTTGGGCCCGATCGGTTCACTCGTTTTGACGTTTATTAAGGATACAAACTGACAGACAGTATATTGATATGAAGTTCGACTTTCGAATTTATTCATAAAAAATAGAGAAAAAAATGCCATTCATTTTTTAAGGGTTAAAGAAACGACGATAGTTACTTAGATTTCAATGGTACCGTTATGTAGTTTTCATGTAACTTGATGTTAAATAGAGGTTGACTTGAAGTTACGCCGACAGTCCCTTTAAACACGTGTATATGTATATACAGGTGGAGAAAGCTGAGGAGGAAGAGAGAGAAGGAGGAAAAGATATTGGAATACAAAATACAACCAAGTTCCTCTTCTCCCAACTTTCAAAGGAATTGAATATTTTTCAATAAATATTTTTAAATTCAAAATTTTCAGTTTTTTTGTTTTCAAGATTTTAATTACTTGCTGGATTATTTTCATGATAAACTTTATAGCTTTTTGGTCAAAATGTATTTGATACATCAATTTTAACTTATATTAGCGAGAAAAATAAATCTTAATAATCCCATTTCATTTATCTTCCGCCTTTTCACATATGAAGACGACATTTTGTGTATTTTATGTTGATTTCATCAGTAGCTTGAAAATATACATATTAAGTTAATTGGGTCTGTTATAACTTGAGTCTATGAGTCCCTTTCCTACTCCAGAGTTTTATGAACCTCACTGTAATATGCAATTTACTATCTTATCCCGCATGAGGGTTAAGAATAAAAATGAAGGTGTTCAAAAACAGCGAAGTTTATCATGCATTTAATCAACTGCTTCTAAAGCTTATACTATTTCAGTTTTTATCGAATGGCGCTGAATTTTTAAACATTTCTTTTAAATCTGACTTTCTAGCTAGTTTTCCAGCTGTCAATTCTAAATTCATGTTTAAACTCTGCTCGAATATTCATGAATCTTGACAGAGAATGGTTCGAGCCCTTCATGATAAGTACAGAGTTGATTTCGAGATGTTCGAGTACACTACAGACAATTATATCAGGTCCGTTATACAGTGGTCTCCAGAATATTGTGAGATTTTAAAACTGTTCAGAACTTTTTGGAAAGCATAGTTAGCTGTTTTTGGTCTAAAAAATCATTATATTTATATTTCATATTATTTTTGAACAATGTTCAGAGTTTGTTACTTTTTATTGTTTGTATTTCCAAACCAAACCAGACAAAATATCAAAAAATTAATTAACAGAGACTTTCCTTGTAAATTGAAGTGATACTTTAATCTTCATTTAAGGAGTTCTAATTTACAACAGTAACCTTTCAACCTTTCATGATCATACAAAGGTTTAAGGGTACCATTGTGAATCCGACATGGTACTATTTATTGAGGAATCAAAAATTGATTCAAATTATAAATATATATATTATTTTTTATTATGATATATATTTATTTATGTATATATATATATATGTATATATGACAGGTTTGCAACGGATTCTGATGAGCTAATGCCAAACAGGCTGGGGGACCTGGAGAACATGCAGGAGGAGGAGGGGGTGGAGGAAAACACGCCGGAGCAGGAGATATAAGAGATCAAGGAGCAGGAGATGGGGGAGGAGCTGGAGATATAGGAGGAGAAGGAGAAGGCGGAGAAGGAGGAGGGGGAGGAGGAGAGGGTAGAGGACAACGCGCATGCGCAAAAAATATAGGAAGAGAAGGAGGATTATCATTAGGAAGAGAAGAAGGATTTTGAAATGAAAGTTCATTCTATACGGTCTGGTTAAATATGTTGAAATGAGTTGACGGACGTACTCTCTTGACAGCTGAGCCTGAAATTTAAAAGAGTATTGTTGAACGAGACTTCCGAATTTCCTTTTTGGGGTTTTAACATTTGTGTAGATTTTGATTTCAGGGATTCAAAAAAATGGAGAATATGAAGAAACTAAATAAAAAAACTGCCTAACCCCAAAACTGGTTTTCATAACGATACCCTGTTTTAAGTTTTGGGCTCTAATACAGAATGAATTTTAAGATTGAGCAGGGTTTGGCAGGGTTCAAGATTAAAAGAGATAGATAGATAGTTATTTCAACTCACACACAAAGTAAGATGAAAATGTAAAAATTTATATTTCAAGTGCAACTAATTTTGTTTTGAGTTCCTTATCAAATTGTTAGTTTATCTGCCTCAATGCTCACACCAATACAAGAGATACAAAATATCAAAAGTCCAGAATCATAAAAAATAGGATATTAACCAAAAGTTAAGAAATGTTTTTCCTTTTAAAAAAAAAATCTTGCCCTTGTAAACTATTGTAAACTATTGCAACGTTAAAAAAAATAATATTTATCTGTGATATCGTGCAAAATTCAATTTTCAAAAATATTTTGTTCATTGCCAACTCTTTATAACGTGTCATTTGTGACCATGAGCTTTTCTTGCTTCAATAACGCGCTTCAAATTAAAGGAATTAAATCTTTGCCACAAACATTTGATGTTTTAAGCTTAAATTATTTGTTTATAAGGTTAAATTGCAAAGATGACAAAGACTCAATTCCTTTTTGGATCAAATAATATTCATGCATGCAATTATCGAACAAGCATAGATCATGTTTATAGTTCCTATGTTGTGCCAAAGCTTAGCCTTTTTTAATATGATGCTTTCACTGCTTTAGCTTTGCTTAAATATATTGTATAGCTCTTAGCAAGCTCTAGCGCGCTTATTCTGTGATATTAATGTGCATTATTTATTCATAAAGATTTATGCTTGGGGCGCATATTATATAATACTTAAATATTGATAAAGATAAAAAATCGCGGATTTTCTTGTTTACATTTACGGATTTTTTTGGAAACAAAATAACAAAGAAACACGTGTATACTATAAACAATCTAATTAATACAAATTATGAATTTAGGGAGAGGTTTGCATAAATTCCTCCATGAATTCTTTTTTGTCCCAATTTAAACCCAAGTTCAGTTTAGAATTTTAACCCCCCCCCCCCCCTCCCCTCCGCTCATAATCTGATGTCCTATGATATGTTATCTATGGGCCGGATCAAGGTGAAAAATGCCATATTTAGTAAATATCAACTTATCAAAATATGTTAGGTAAATACATGAAAACTTAGCATATTTAATTAATTTTCAGATTCAATTCAATTTTGTTCGCCATAATATAAATACAGGGTGTCCCACGAAACATGACAATAGAGAGACGAATTGCAGTTCATGTTGATTGTCATTGATAAGTCAGCCTACATTTACAATTTACAAAATTTGGTCTGCCATGTTTGTCCTTTAAATATTACCGGAGATATTAAGAAGTTTGCAAAGATTTCAATTTATAAAAAAAGATTTGTCGAAAGTCTTTTAACTCCGGTAATTTTCAAAGTACACAAGAGGCAGACCACATTTTGGAAATGCCTGGACTAGGGGTATTTTGTAATTATCAACTCAAGAATTTTACTTCTAAAATTACGTTGACAAATGACAAGGTTTTACAAAGATCAAATCGTCTGTCAACTGTCATGTTTTGTGGAATACCCTGCAATAACAAGCCTATTCATGATACTGAGCCCTTAACATCCATTATAAATCATTTTTCCTAGATTTAAGAGTAAACATAAAATTAATATCTTTAAATACATATATAATGTTTTTGCAATAAAAAATTGTGTAATATTCTTGTACTATTGTAGAAATAAATCAAATTCCAGTTTCTGCATACTGTTTACAGAGTAAATTAAAGTTCGTGTATAAATCCAAATTTGTGTCTTTTTGTTTTAATGATTGTTCGGATATAGAAACTATATAAAGTATCTAATTTTAATTCCGATTTCTTTCGCGAAGTTTCTAATATTTTGGCGAAAATTTTGCTTTTTAACACTGAACAGATTAAAGCAAAATTTCGCAAAACGATTTTTCGCTTTTCCCTAGTTTCATTACAATACTCTGTCTTAAGTAGGGGGTAAAATGCATCGTGCTTCGCTTGGCCCAAGTATGTTCCTTTATTAATTGTAAGCTAAAAAGTAGTTTTTTAACCAGTTTCGATACAATCCTATGTTGAAAATCCTTATCAGATTCAGATTTAACCCCCCCCCCCACACCTAACACTAAAGATAACACTGAATTTTAGAGCTTGTTAAAATGTTAAAATCACGTTTTTTAGTAAATAGTGTTAATGATGAAAAATCATAGATTACTGATATTGATATGGCTGAGATGGAATTTAATAAATTGGGACCTATAAATATATTTTTTAATCATATTCTTTAAAGGACTGTTCGTGAAGTGTCAACTTTCAAGTGACCCTCCATGCAAAGATGAACCTTGAAACTTTTATCTGATCAATAATGTTAGGTAGACAATTCTTCGTTTTCCAAGTTTAAAAGTGTTGAATTTTGATCATTTCTTCTTTTCTGAAGTAGAAATACGAAAGTCAATTTTATTGAGAAACCAAAATAATCAGTTTTCAAAATTATAATTATTGATATTTGATCAGATAACCTTTTATGGTACCGTTGTGAATCAGGCACTGCCATCTTTGTATGGAGTAACACTTGAAATTTATTTAGAAATGGTCTTATTATATTAATGACATTTTAAAATCATTTCTTAATTGTTATAAAATCGTCTGGTTCTAATATCTTGTCAACATTTAAATTTGGCGTGAAAGATGCTCCAAACCTCACAGAGTAAAAAATTAGTTGTTATAGTTCCACATTTTTTAAAATATATATTTTGGTCTGGGTTGAACCTCTTCAGGTCTGAAGATATGATAATCATCAAAATTAATAATCTTATAAAAAAGTATATTTGAATTTTTCCGTTTCCAATTTATATATTCAAAAGAGAAATGGAACCCTTGAACATATTTTACAATACCTCCCTTCCCCTTAACTGACCCTATGCATTGTCCAAACCATAGATTATACAGATAAGACAAGGATATTTCAAGATGTTGGTTCTATAACTGTTGAGGATTTAACTAAGAAAGAGACTGTAGACGTAATTTCAAGTGATATAGTTCTAGAATTCAGATATATGCTTACTCTGATTTAAAGGGATAGATAGATATAGATAGATATAGATAGATATAGATAGATATAGATAGATATAGATAGATATAGATAGATATAGATAGATATAGACAGATAAAGATAGATACAGATAGATATATATTTAACTAAACAATTGCACAATTTTACATTTTAATCTCTAACCATTGTTGGTTGTTTTGAATGAGAGGCCCTTCTGCAACGATACATACATGTTAAATTTAAATGGAACAAAATAAAACTAAAGGAAAAGGAGAAAAGTAAAAAGGAGTATATAGGGGAAAAGGTATTGAAGAAAAATGAGGAAAATAAAAAGAAAGGATCCCAGGGGGGGGGGGCAAACCAGCACACAAAGTTCATAATGTTGTATGTTTTATTTTGTTTTGTTATAATAACAGGGGAAAAGGGTACTGTTGAGAATCGGACCCAGCATTCGATGGATGGAAGAACACTTGAATATACGTTTACAGACCTTTAATGTTACTTTCTCAGTATAAATCGGTATTAAGATCTTTTACACAAAAGAGATATTATGTATACACACGACAAAACTAAAAACATCTGGTTTTACCTGTATAAACTATGTGATAAGCTACATCTGGTTTATCTGTATAAACTATGAGATAAGCTACATCTAGTGTATCTGTATAAAGAAACTGTGTGATAAGCCACATCTGGTTTATCTGTATAAAGAAACTATGTGATAAGCTACATCTGGTTTTATCTGTATAAACTATGTGATAAGCTACATCTGGTTTTATCTGTATAAACTATGTGATAAGCTACATTAGTGTATCTGTATAAAGAAACTGTGTGATAAGCCACATCTGGTTTATCTGTATAAACTATGTGATAAGCTACATCTGGTTTTATCTGTATAAACTATGTGATAAGCTACATCTGGTTTTATCTGTATAAACTATGTGATAAGCTCTTTAATTGCCCACTTTAACTGAAACGCCTAGAGGGACAGAGCAGATTTAATCGCAAGGATTAAAAGACAAACAAACTTTTAAAGTGATATCTTTGATTTATATAAATAAATGTTATTTATTATATTTATAATTCCAAGCTTTTATAAAATTTGAAGATTTTTTGTTTATTGTTTATAATGCACCAAAGGAATTGAGTTTTTGCCACGATCTAAAATTTTCTAAATAATTTTTGCCGTCCTAAGTAACTTTTTATCCAATAGATTCTATTGTTGGAAATATCAAAGGTCTTAGACGTACATCGGGTTGCACAGATTTAATGATTAGAAAATCAGAACTTGTTAGTTGTGGCAAAACCTCATTCCTTAACTATTTTGTTGTTCATTTAGAATGAAATTTTTATAATTCTCAAATCTGATCATCAAATTAAAAACTTGTCTCAGAAAATATTTGATATTCAGATACGTTTATCAATCTAAAAATGGACAATATAATCGTTCTTATTTTAATAATCAATTAAAGTCCTTTAGAAAAATTTATCTTTCAACTCTTACATTCACAATCAAGATGGTCATTAAGAAGCCCCAAGCTCCAAAGATCTACTCATTAAAACTTTTGAACCCCTAACAAAACATATAAGCCCCGCCCCCCCCCCCCCCCCCCCCCTCCTGGCCTGCATATTCTAGTTAGATCTGCATGAAAGTATGCATACCCATCCTATCAACATATTCATCAATGTCGGAATTATGAATGCAAACATTTATCATGAAAGATAAGATGTAGAAGATATAGCATACGTTGATATAGTTTACATTGTACGTATGTTATATTGAACTGTTGTTGTTATTTATGTGTCACTAGAGCCTTCAGGCCATGACAGGTCCCACAAAAAAATGTAAACCGAACAGGATTC